GGAGGATCTGAACAAACTGGAACACTGGGCGCTATCTAACAAAATGAAATTCAACAGTGAAAAAAGTAAAGTTTTACATTTAGGCAAGAAAAACCAAATGTACAGGTATAGTATAGGTGGTACCTTGCTCAATAGTAGTAACTGTGAGAGGGATCACAGAGTCCTAGTGGACAATCACTTAGATATGAGCCAGCAGTGTGCTGCAGCTGCCAAAAAAGCCAACACAGTGTTAGGCTGCATTAACAGAGGGATAGAATCAAGATCATGTAAAGTATTAATACCACTTTACAATGCCTTGGTAAGGCCACACTTGGAATATGGCATCCAGTTTTGGTCACCACGATGTAAAAAAGATGTTGAGACTCTAGAAAGAGTACAGAGAAGAGCAACAAAGATGATTAGGGACTGGAGGCTAAAACATATAAGGAACGGTTGCTGGAATTGGGTATGTCTAGTTTAATGAAGAGAAGGACGAGGGGGACATGATAGCAGTGTTCCATTATCTCAGGGACTGCCACAAAGAAGAGGGAGTAAAGCTATTCTCCAAAGTGCTTGAAGGCCGGACAAAAAGCAATGGATGGAAACTAATCAAGGAGAGAAGCAACCTAGAACTAAGGAGAAACTTCCTGACAGTTAGAAAATTAACCAGTGGAACAACCTGCCTCCAGAAGCGGTGGATGCTCCAACACTGGAAGTTTAGTTGCTTTTCTCTGAACTTTTTCCAAGGTCTCAACATCTTTTTTGTAGTATGGTGACCAAAATTGGCTGCAGTATTCCAGATGTGGTCTTATTAGAGTTTTATAAAGCGGTACTAATACTTCGCGTGATCTTGATTCTATGCCTCTGTTTATACAACCCAGGATTATATTAGCTTTTTTGGCACCTGTATTTAAATCTTTGATTTTTTCCTACTTAAATGTAAAATTTTGCTTTTCTCCACATTAAAACTCATTTTGTTGGGTAGGCTCCATTGTTCAAGTTTGTCAAGATCTTTTTGGATCCTGAGCTTGTCTTCTGGGGTATTGGCTATTCCTGCCAGTTTGGTGTCATCTGCAAATTAGATGAATTCCCCTTCTATTCCCTCATCTAAGTCATTAATGAAGATATTGAAGAGTACTGGGCCTAAGACGGAGCCTTGTGGTACCCCACTGCTTACTTCTCTCCATGTGGATGTAGTACCATTGAGGACTACTCACTGAGTACGGTTTGTCAGCCAGCTACAGATCCATCTGGTGGTGGTGTTGTCTATCCCATTTTTTTCTAGCTTACTAAGCAGCAGGTTGTGGCCTACTTTGTCAAGTGCCTTACTGAAATCTAAGTATACTATATTCACAGCGTTTTGCTGGTCTACTAATTTAGTCACTTTATCAAACAATGAAATAAAATTGATTTGGCATGATCTGTTTTTGACAAACTCGTGCTGGCTACTGGTTATAACTTTGTTTGCTTCTAGTCTGTTTTTTGATTATCTTTTCTACGATCTTCCCAAGTATTGATGTTAAACTGATTGGTCTGTAGTTTCCTGGGTCCATATTTTTCCCCCTTTCTTGAAGATGGGAACCACATCAGCCCTTTTCTAATTCTCAGGTACTTCCCCAGTGGTCCAGGATTTTTGGAATATATGGTGCAATGGTTCTGAGATAACATATGCCAGCTCCTTCAGAACTCTGGGATGTAATCTGTCAGATCCCGGTGATTTATATTCATCAAGGTCAGATAGGTGTTCTCTTGCTATTTTCTTGCTTATTTTAATTTTTGTTTCTAGTTTGTCTTTTGCAGTAGGTTTTTTTTTTTGTATGTTGGGCTATAATTTCTTTTTGTGTGAAGACTGATGCAAAGAATGAGTTAAGCAGTTCTGCTTTCTCCCCACTGCCTGATACTTTCTTGCCATCTTCTCTCTTTAGTGGGCCTTACAATTTCCTTGACATTTTTGTTATTAATATGTTGAAAGAAACTTCTTTTATTGTCCTTGATTTCTGTTGCAAGTCTTCATTCATTCTGAGCCTTTGCTTTCCTGACTTCATCTTTGCGTGTTTGTTAACTGGTTGGTAAAGAGTTCATCTATTTCTTCCAATTGGTTGGGTGGTCTGTAATATACACCTATGGCAATGTCACTTTTTCCCCTTTTATATTGACCCATATACATTCTGGAGGGATTTTATCTTTGATATGTAGTGTTCTCTTACATACAGTGCAACTCCTCCTCCTCTTTTTGTAAATCTATTTCTTTTGAACAATTTGTATCTATCCATCAGTACATTCCAGTCATTGGGTTTGTCCCACCAGTTTCTGTAATGCCAACTATGTCATACCTGCCCTTGTGTACTATTGCTTCTAGTTCACCCTGTTTGTTCCCCAAGCTTTGAGCATTTGTATATAAGCATTTAAGACCTTTATGCCTGTCCGTGAATGATAAATGGGTATATCATCATAACTCTGTTTTTCAAAACCATGGCAGTTGAGGCATAAAAACACTGTTGGTTGTTGACCAGATTTTCTTTAACTTGATATCAACATGTCAATCATTGTAAACTATTTCCCATCAAGATCTGGTTTTCTCCCTTTGCCTAGCTAATAAATCTTTTCAAATGTCTTTTATGAGCTGCAATGGCAAACCTAGATAATTATAAAAGTAAGAAAAACTGCTTTACAACCATCGACTAGACAGTTGTCAAGGTTCCAATAGACAAAACCAAACAAATCAGAATTCTGAGGCTTGAGATTTCCTCAAAGAACATGTTTATTGGTTACATAGTATCAACACGGTCAAAAATGAAATCAAGTCTGAAATGCCCTTCAAAGAGAGACAATATTACAAAGTTGAACTTCCCACCCCAATGCTATGCAATCAGCTACGTTCCCCAATAGAAGAGTTTGGCGGGCTTTCTAACTAAATGCCCCCCCCATCTAACTGACAGAAATGACCTTTACTGATTCCCACGGGATAATAAAATGTTTAGACTAGTACAGATTCTCCGCACCCCTTCCCATTCTTGTGGCAACCTAGAACGAGCAAAATGGCTGCAGCCAGGTTCGTTATAGAGTTGGCAACAGTATTTATACACTGGTTTGTTTTTTTTTGCCTTTTGTTAATTTACTGCATATAAATAAATCTAGATAATCTAGATAAATATATCTAAATATATTTATATAAACATATCTGGAGAGGTGGACTGATTATGCTTTCTTACCAGGCGAGATACTGATGTATCAAATTTACAGTCACTATAAAAAAGTAGAAGTTTTGCTTATCTTTCCCACTGACAAAATTAAATGAAAATCCCAGCAAATATATCATTATAACATCTTTTGGTACATTCCTCACATTTGCATCCTGCATCCTAAAGCCAAGTACAAAATGCATTACTGAGTGGCCTTGTGAACCTTTGAGATTGGCCACATCAACAATCAGGCACTGTAAGGATTCCAAGAATGTTCATTTCTGTTTTTTTTTTATTAATTATATGCTATTATTGTGTTATGCACTTAATGATCACATAGGTAGGTTTTCTCTATGATAATCTGTCCCTGGCTTGATGCTTCAAGCCTTCCATTGGTACATTCACCATCACTGTAATTGGCTCCATCCATCTTGCGGCTGGCAATATTCCTCTTCTATCTTTCCCATTTTTTTCTTCAAACTTCCCTCTTTTGACACTCCATGTAATCTGTTGTGAAAGTTCTCCCTTAACTGCTTGTTCATACCTTCCATCTACCCAACGTGAGTTCTCAATTCTTTTACAGGTCTGTCCTCTTGATTAGAAAAGAAAGAACCTTATGGAAGGGATGTTAGAAATCCATTCCTTGCTACAATCAGTTTGGATTGCAAAGCATTTCCAATGGACAGAAAATGTAGTCCACTTTTCTACATTGTTATCCTCATTCATTTGTAAATGCTTTCAATAAATTACTACTTCTGACTGAGTGTGAATTGGTCTGTTCCATAACTGGGCTGTGGGCTGCTAGCTGTGTATGGGCCCTAGTTTATTTTGCTGTGGTTTGAGGAATGGGAACATGTCCAGCAGTAGATGTGGGGTATAAAGTCAATGTGGTAGATACACACGATAGTCCTCCCTGATACGCTCCAGCTTAATTAAATCCTGTGTCATATTTTAAAACAGACAAAATTAGGTCTGATTCATCCCATCCCACTCACACGTCAAATCTAGAGGGGAAGTTTAATAGGGCAACCCAAATTCTGATAGTTGAAGAAAGGGTCAGAATAAGAATGAAGACAACCTTTTGTATCCCTCTTCCTATCTCTCCTTCATTATCTGCTTTTTTTTTGGTACATAGGAAAACCAAAACCCTTACTAGTTATTTCTTCTGTCCATAATAAAGCCAAATCCAACATACAACAAATTGCAAAGACAATCCAATCAAAATATAACTGGCTTAAAGGGCAAAAGTACTATTAGTGATTATTACTAAAATAGCTGCCATGTACCAAGGCTGAGGTAATGATATGTGGGAATGGAATGATCAGAAGAAGAACAAAAGCCAACACAGTAGTCTGATAAATGAAAAAAGTAGGTGAAGTCAGAACAAAAAAATAATATTTAATCAATAAATGCCAAGATATTCTGCCTCTGAAGGAGATACCCAAGTCCTTCCAAGTGACCTAAAGAGAGAATGTAAAATTTAATAGTCAAGATAGTTTGCTCTATATGCTCTATCTAGTCTATACTATTCACAGGTATTTTTTCTTAAAATTAAAGAAATTATCTTGAATTAACTAGATACTAAAAGTATACCTACAGAAATTTGTAATCAGGTGCAGTATTTAAAATGATAAAAGAGGGTGATTTAAAAGGCGACTATTTCAATTCCAAAATATCTCTGAAGTTTAACTGAATAAGAACTCTGCAATCCAGGTGGGTTTGAGAGATTTACTTAGGTTTTTGATTTTATGATATGTAAGCATCTGCGTTCCAAATGTCAGACATATGGACTACTTTAAATACATTCTGAATGTAACTATCTTTTTAACTGCATTTCAGCCATTTCTTTAGTTTTCAACATATCAAAAAAGTGCCTCTATTTGACATCCAAAACGATATTCAAGAACTTGTAGCTACCAACCCAAAGCCATTAGAGCTTCCAGATACAAGAGCGGGACCAGGCAGCTCTTCACTGCAGAAAGATCCTGTGAACAGATTGGAAAATTACAATGTCCCTGAGAGGCAGGCTGAGTTCCAAGATGCATCAACATCACTTCAAAAGCAGACCAGGAGTAGGCTGGTCGTAGTGGAAACCAGTCAAAAATCAGCCGAGAAGAAAGAAAGGCCTACAGCAAGTCAAAACCATGCCAAAACTTTGGTTGAAACCCAGTCATCTAATAAAGATGGGAAGCGTATTACACCAGCATCCAACCAAAAGGGAGAAACAAAAAAATATATGGCACCGGGCAATGAAGAAAAGGAGAAAGCAAAGGCTAAACGTGTGACACCAGTACCCCCAAGAAAGCAGTCTGCAGGAAAAGCAGCCAAACAACCACAGTTTCATGATAAAAATGCCACACTGCCCTCTACAGCAAATCAAACTCACCTGAGGAAACAATCCAACAAAATAAACCTAATTAAAGAACACACTGCCAAGGCATCGGTGTCTGATGTGCAACAAGTCACGCATCCAGCTCCTTTAGCAACAACCCCTAAAAGGTTAAAAGCAGCTGACTTTAAATCTGAGCCCCGCTGGAAATTTGATGACATTTATCTCTTGGATAATTCAACACCACCGTCAGTAAGTAACCATTGCATGATAATTACCATAAATTTCCTAAAAAAACACATGTTTTTGCTGCAATACACACATATTAACAATTATGTTCTGTGATATAATCAAACAAGGGGGGTAGGTTTTATTATGATACATGATGCTTCCTGTTCTCTTCACTTAATTTCACTTAATTTTTCTTGGAAACCATATATTATGAAGGCCCATTCTGGGCTGCAACATTGGCTTAACTTAACTTCTACCAGAACTCAGTGAGAGTAAATGTCATGATTGCCTGCCACATGTTCCAGGTTTCAGACAGCTTTGGAATTGAACTCTCTAGCCAAATAATCCAAATTTATTTTGTATTTATTTATCGGATTTAGGCATTGTCCATCTAGCTATTTAAATGACTCTGGAATGGGACACTATGGAATGGGAAAAGAGCAATATTTCTTAAAGATATGCTGTAACAATATCCACAGAAGATGAATATGAAGACTAGTTCTTGTTGTGGTTGTGCTGTACCATGCCGGGGAGAAGTAGAAATTCAGTGATTTTTCCATATACAGACATGAATATTAAATATTCTTTTAATCTAGCATCTACATTAGGATTCCTTGCACAGATTTTCTCAAATATTTCACTGGTTCTAGTTGATGCCTAACCAAGAGTGTTTCCAGACAGATGGTTTCTGGTATTACCAGTCTCAAGGAATTTTGCTACTTTTAACAGATCAATTTTTGCTAAGAGAAGAGTAGGAAAATATTAAGAGCATTGGAGGATTACAACTGGAGAGTGGTATCTTGACCCCCTCACAGAATTCTTTAAAGAAAACTTAATATATGGAAATATTCTACCGCCATCACCAAAAAGAAAAAGAAAAGGAACACTCCATAGGGGAGAAAAATCAGCAAGAAAACATTTACCGGTACTTAAAAAAAAATCACAGCCTTAGGATTATTTATTAGAATACCTGACAATGTGCAGATCATATTTACTTTGAGATCTCATTCATATCAATTATTGCTGGAACTCTGTAAAATAGTCAACAAGAATGGAAAGCTGCTGTGATTGGACAAAACTGTTTTTTCGAACAGTTGTCTCATAACTTTTCTTCTCTTCTTTCTCCACTTCTTAGACCTGCCCAGATTCTCTGAGGAACAGGGCTGCCAAATCTGATTGGTTACATGATATTTTCCTACCCAACATCACAGTCTTCATGGACAGGAGTCATTTCAGTGACAGTGAATGGAAGCGTATGGACCATTTTGCTCCACCGTTTGGCTTCATGGAGCTAAACTTCTCATGTGAGCATCTCTATTATGGGGTGCATAGTATGGGTTAAAAGCAAGGATACTTCTGGCAGAAGGTATTAGAAGTCATATACTGAGCCAGTTATCAGTCCATTCACCCCAAACCTGCTCCATGTTCCCCCATCTTGTGATAAGGGAAAAGTCCATAGTCTCAGCGGTATCTCTGCCCACTTCCCCATTGACTTTTCTTGTTGGAAACTGGCAGGGAAGGTCACAAATGACAATCATATGACCATGGGACACTGCAACCATCTTAAGTGTGTGAGCTGATTGACAGGTGCCCAGATCACAATCACATGACTGCAGGAGGTTGGTCAGAATTTTCAAGGACAGGTTGTAAGTACCATTCATGCAGCACCATTGTAGCTTTGAGTGTCTGCTGAACAATCGTAAACTGAGGACTGCCTGTATAATAATAGAATCCTACATGTCTGTCAGTGTCGCACTTCTTTCTCCTTCCTATACCCCAGTGATTTAGGGAAGACACTTTAACTTTTTAGTTCCTGGTCAGGCCCATGTAGTGGCACTGACAATTCCAGATTCAATTTCTATCAGAGAAGATCACAAGCTCTATGCACAACTGAACTTTCAATGCCAAGACAAGATAGTCAATGTAATATATTCTAATTTAATTGTTGTGTCATGCCTGAATTGTCTCTTATGTCCTACCCAGTTTGGAGCTGTCTTATTTTATGAAACCTGCTAGCTTCTTCCAATGAATAATTGTGTCTCATTTCTTTCCAGTGGTAAAAGAAGTGATATCCATGCTTCCTCCTAAACCCTACCAGCATATTCTCTTTGCACGTAATGGCAGTCAGACCTCCAAGTGCATCACTTGTGCAGTTGTAGGAAATGGAGGGATACTGAATAATTCAAGAATGGGCAAGGAAATTGACTCTCATGATTATGTCTTCCGGTAAGAGGAACTGTAGTTCTGCAGAAAGCCTGAAGTTGTATGCAGCTTTAAGATGCCACCTGCACAGTCACAATTTTTCTGCTGTCATTCCTGCAGCATAGTTACCTCCTCTCCTCCAGCTTAGCTGCTGTATCATCTATATCACAGCAGGGGCTCTTTACCCAGGTAATCAGGCACCTTTCAGAAGACTGCTGGACTCAGGAATAAAAAGCAACCCCCCAAGGTGTATTGGAGTAGATAGCTGTATTGGTCCTCTTTGTATTCTGTGCTACAGCAAGATTTGAGGTGCTGGCTATTTCCACCCCACTTTTTTTACATCCACTTAGAGGAACAGAACTGGTAAATGACTCTTCGTTTTCCAGTTTATGGAGAGAAGTATGTTTTTCTGAAGACCAGGAGAACTGGTACCAAATATACTTATTTCCCTCCTCCTCTTGCTGCTTTGCTGGTCACCTATTGATTACTAAAAGAGATGGGAGAGATTTTTTTTTTATTAAGAGAAGTGAGAGAGATGGTTTTCTAGCACAGAGAGGAAGCTGTGATTCTCCCAGTGCCAGAAAGCTAATGGAGCTGAAAATCAGAGGCCAAAAACCAGAGAAAGGGATTTGTGTCTGCAGCAGCTTCAGTGGGCCAGTGGTACCTGCTTCTAATCTTACCTTAGTCTGATGCTCAGTCTGTCAGTCCAGGTGCACGGCTACTGGTAGAAGAAGCTGGCAAATACAACCTGAAGCAATTGAAGAGAAAGCAGTGGCTGCCTTTGTGGAGAGGCAGACTAGATAGACTGACAGAAGACAATATTGTGTGTTCTCGTCTTCCCCAAACAGTAGGATTTCTTCATGCTATGGCAAGCAAGATGTCTAGGTGATTCCTTAGTTTTACCCAAACAGGAGCCAGCTTTAGTTCTACCCTGTCAGTACTAATGTTAATCTTCAAAAGTTTCTGGTCACAGCCATCTTTACTTTGTTTTCGGTTGCCACAGCAATGGGAGGGAGGAGATGCATTCTTCTAGTTTAGCCATAACAATAACTTTCTTGTGGGAACCAAGGTCAAGCTACCTTATTTGGCCGGGCTGAAACTACCATTAGGCAGCCCGCCAAAGTAGTTAATTGGGGATTGTGATTTATGACATATTAAAGGGGTGGGGAGTTCAACTTTTACTTTGTAACCTTTGAGGGGGGGGACTTTCAGTCTTGGTTTCACCTTTGACCTTGCAGATACTATTAAAAGTATTCTTTGAGGAATGCAATTGCCTCAGAATTATTATTTTCTTCTGGTCACATTTATCGGAACCATGACAACTAACATAGCACTGCTAATAATACATTTTCTTAAAGTTTTCTTGAAAAACAAAGTGATTATTACTCTGGTTGTCATATTTGATAGGCTGAAGTTTCTTTCATACCTATCCCTGTGGGCAAAGACCTTGGGAAACTGAGCTGATTAACTATCAGCTCAGTTCTTTTTCCAGAGCAGGGCAGTTTTGCAAGTTTCCTCCTAGAGCAGCAAAGAAGATGGATTCCCATTGGTGGAAACTTTCATCTTGTTCCGCTTCCTGGTGCCTATGATTTCTTCCTGCATCCTAAGATGTGGCACCATCTTCTTCCTAGCCATTTTATCCACAGTGACTGGCTGGCTTGGAGTATTTTTTTCCCTTCACATCAAACAGCTGTTTAGCTGCTTTTTTGTACTTTCCCATTGGCCAGCTGGAGGCACCAGAGGATGACTTATTGGAAGACACTGGGGAAATTAGATAGCCGGGGCTGGGGGGGGGGAATTGTTGCTAGTGTTTGGAGGAGCAAAGAAGCCCACAGTAGTGCTCTGGGACAGCTTAAAGGGAAGACATTCCCTACGTCCAGTTAGAATTATGACAGCAATCCTCACTCATCAACTGATGGGTATGCATGTGTGAAATGTATCTTAATATTCCCCTGGAATCTGCCAGAGAATTGCATGTTTTGAATACTGACTCTTAATCTTTGCTAAAATGACAGAAAAACATTTTTTTTTCTGCTTCAAATCCAATTTGGAATTCTGGTTATCAAAATCAGGATTCCACTAATTTATTTATTTTTCCTGGGAATCTCGCAAAGTATGCATATGTACCTGAAGTAGCTCCACTTATCTAACTTGGTGGTTTTATATGGTCTCTTTCACCAGAGTGAGTGGAGCTGTGATCAAGGGTTACGAGAAAGATGTGGGAACAAGAACTTCTTTTTATGGATTCACAGCCTTCTCCTTAGTGACTTCAGTTATGATTCTGGGGAATCGTGGATTCAAGAAGATCCCTGCAGGAAAAGTAAGGCAGATATCCTTATATTTCTCCTCCTCCTAGTTGAACATTAGTTGTGAGAGCAACTTACATTAGAAAACCTTAAATCTTCCTCCAAGTTTCACAACCCAACTCTGATTTATCCCTCTTTCACCTAAGACCAGCAGAGAATGCCCAGCCCTATCTTTTATGCTGTGGCATTCCATCTGCTGTGCCCCCTCCAAATGTATTTGTGGCATTTTTCCTAGGAGATCAAGTATCTGCACTTCCTGGAAGGGGCAAGAGATTATGAATGGCTGAAAGCTCTTCTTCTGAACGCCAATGTCAGGAAGGGATTTTTGGACTATTATGGGTGAGTAGTGCTGTGCTTTCTGGATAAGGGCACCCACAATGGAAGGCAAGGGGAGACATGTTGTGATTTGCATAATCTCATAACCTCAGGTGTTGGACTGCAAGTACATAAAGGTATTAGATATGCCTGATGACACTGCCATGTCATTATGTGGTTTACTCTGGATGCTGCTGAGGAGGAAAATGCAGAATTGTATATGAATAGAATATGGGCAGAAAATGCACTTTTGAAATGCATAAAAATAATGTAGCATAATAGACATCTTCAGTTGAAAGCAGGTTCAGATACAGAGGTGTATATGTACTGCCTTTATTTAGATATATATTATCCAGGTTACGTTCAGATCAGCCCCAAAGTATATCTGAATCAAGACAAAGTGGGCTTTTCTTTATTATCTTTCAATTTTTCTGCCTCAGCAGTGTGGAGAGTTTTTCTTGACCTTGCATTGCTGACTCCTTGCAAACATTTTGAAGATCTTTCTTCAGTGTGTAAAACATTAATGAATAAGGATGGCTGCATTTTCCTAATTTATTAACATTTTGGCCCAGTGTGCCCACATCTCAATTGGCTTAACAGAAATATTACATTCTTAAATAAGAACTTTGAAAACATTCCCCCACCCTCAACATTTTAATGAATAATCAGGAGATGAACCAGGCAAAATTTAGATTAATTTTGTGAGTTCTGCTTTCAAGAATCTCTGGTGGCCCATCAGTTAACTGTTAATGAAAATAAATGGCAAAGAGATAAAGAGTTTGAGCATAACAATTTCTATTGTCTTTTGTAGGGCTTATCCCTACAGCCTTGTTCTGATGTGCTTTCTCCTGTTCTTACAATGGGAGTGAAGTGTGGTGTTTTGAAAACCACTGTCCCATTTCTTATCCTCTAGTGCCCTTTCCCTCCCCCATTGGGGACTTATATGGTACTTTGACCAGCAGCTTTAAGAGCATTCTGAAGTTGACTTTCACCACTGAAGTGGCCCTCCCCATTTCTTGTTAAAGATTTGTGTTCTGAAATGCCTGGAAATGAATACTTGCAGAATCGAGGAAGATAAAAGACTGGGATCCTTCCCTCTTATTCAATTGTCCATTTCCATTTTGCTGAATGGTCCAGTTTCTTTGCCTACAATTTTCAGTCCCCCACAATTCTGTCCAAGATCAAAGGTACTACCATCACAGTAACAACTTTAATCATTCCAAAAAGGAGGGGAAAAGCACACAAGCACACAAATAAAGGTTGTTGAATAGGTTGATATATTTCCTATGTACTGCCGCAATATTCCTTCCATGATTGACAGAGATGGAGGACCAAAGAGGAGAAGGGTAAGCAAAGTAAGTTTTTGTTTCATTGCCATTTCACAAAGGCCTTCATGGGAAAAGATGCTACAGCAACAGAAAATCTGATCTCAGAGTAGGTATTCCACAAGATCAATATTTCCTCAGTTGAAAAAAAGAAAATTTTAATGAAGTTTTGTTCTCTCTGGCGACCAAAGGAGGAATGACTTTGGTGGCATAGAATCCTATTGCCAATGATAGAGCAGGATCTCATCATTTGGAGCCCTGAAGGCTGCCAACATTTCCTAGCAATACAGAATGTTTACAGAGGAGGTTTTGTTCCATTTTCTGATGGAAAACGTCACTTTCCTTGACCTGATCTCAGCCTGCCTCAGGAATGGGCTGGCAATATGCAGGAAGCTCTGAAGTGAGGAAAGGTCCTCCACAAAGGATAGGTGAGCATCTCAAAGCCATGTGGATGAACCCGAAGTTTGACTGGGCAGAGTCCTAAGCAAATCAAAGGAAGACAAAATGCATATCAAGTTATCATCATTGAAACACTGCCATTAAATACATATATCCTGACAAGTGTATTATATCACACACATTTTTGCCATATGCCTCTGGCCCCTTTTTAAACAATCACATTCCTTAATTTTTCCCCCCATCTTCTCTGTTTTGTCTTCAAAAAAGTCTCTCTGTGAACCCACTATGTTTGCTCACGTTTCCTTTTAATAATAGATGTTACTTTACTGCAATGTGACTTTAACTTAAGAATACTGTCCAAGAATCCTCAGTTTTCCCCATTCTGATCTTAGATACAGTGTGCGAAAAGATAAGACCTTGCATCATCACTCTAACTTATAGAAAAGCTGGCCAAACCAGCTTTGATTTGAACTCTACATAGTTTGCCTAAAGATATATTTTGTTTTTATAGACCAAGACCCCGGGATAAATTTGATAATTTCAATTTGGATCAATACTTTGTGATTCATCCAGACTTTCTCAGATACACTAAAAACAGGTAAGACATAAGTGAAGTGAATTTCAAACACCAGGAACAGTTTCAAGATTTTAAATAAGCAGTGTTGGCAGCATGGACCGCTGAACAGAACAATGTCTTGTTTTAAATACGCAACAAAACAAAACATTCCGTCAAAATTATTACAGGTTGGCTGAGTTCTGTTGGAATGAAACATAAAACAGATTGAGCATTCAATATCTGTCACGACAAAACCCAAAATATTTTGTGTTCTGACTATAGGAAACAATGAGAACTGGGAGCCAGCTGCTACTGCCTTATTTTCATTCTAGGATTATAAGAATGTGGTGGTGGTGGTGGTATTTCATTGATTTATTTAAACTACAGGTAGTCCTCAACTTACAACCAGAATTGAGCCCAAAAATTTTGTTGCTAAGTGAAACATTTGTTAAGTGAATTTTGCCCCATTTTATCACCTTTCTTGCCACAGTTGTTAAGTGAATCACTGCAGTTGTTAATTAGTAACACAGTTGTTAAATGAATCTGGTTTTCTCTTTGACTTTGCTTGTCAGAAGGTTGCAAAAGGTGATCATATGACCCCAGGACACTGCAACAGTCATAAATGTGAGTCAGTTCCCAAACATCTGAATTTTGATCACGTGACCATGGGGATGCTACAAGGGTCATAAGTGAAAAACGGTCATAAGTCGCTTTTTTCAGTGCCGTTGTAATTTCAAACGGTCACTAAGTGAACTGTTATAAGTCGAGGACTACCTGTATTTATATGGTTACCTTCTTGCTAAATGACTCTGGGTGGTTAACAAGGATTACAAATATCTAGGACAAGGAAAATGATAAAATATAAAATACATTGTGAAACACACTATATCAGCAACCAGATATGTAGTGTTATGTTGCACAGCAGGATCCTCCAACTTCCTGGTCCAGGGCCTGAAGGGAGAATTTCTCTGTCTTCAGGGCCATCTTGAAGGGTGACAAACTAAATTGGGGAAGACTGTTCCACAGGGCAGATGTTGCAACAAAGAATGCCAAATGCTCAATTGGAAGAACATTTGACCAAACTTGTGATTTTAAAAACATTAACCTATTACAACCAATCTCTGCTGAAAAGAGTAGAAACAAGTTTCAAAAACATCTGAAAATTGTATTTAGATTAGCATCTGTTATCAGCTCTTCATCCCCTCCCCCGCCTCAGTCTCAACGCAAAAAACAGATAATGATCTTTTTAGTAAACCTTCAGGGCCATTTACAATGTTAGACGAAGAAAGAAACTAAGCTCTCTAACATTTCTTTCAGTCTTTGGTAATTAATTTGTTCTCTTAAAATGTGTTTATATTTTTGTTTACATTCCCTTAGCTATGTTTCAGAAGGCACAGATTTTGTTTTTATTTTTCAGCCTGTTGGCCAGGTGAAAACCTAACAAAAGCAACATTATGATTTTCTGATGATTTTGTTTCCATTCTGGGATGAACCAGCAGGTTGTTGATGCTTCCTAACTGAAAGAATAATGCTGTAAAGTTACTATCAGATACGAGAGCATGCGCAGGACATACACATACAGAACGTTCAGTATGCCAATCATGTATTACTAACCTTTGTACTTACACCTCAGGAGCAGTACAGTAACAACTCTTGTGGAGATGGTACAAACTTCTGTATCTTCCCTTTGCATTATTTCCCTGGTGGTGGTGGGGGGGAAGCTCTGTTCCCATAGGATGATTAGTCCACCTACAGGAACTCCAGCTTCCCCAGAACAAAGTTTCTTTAAAAACCAACCAACCACACTAATCTGGAAGGCAGACAGGCAACTCTGGGCAGCCATCTTCTTCTGCCCTGTATTTACCTGTATTTTTTTTTTCTTTCACGTTCCACTCTCATATTGCTCCATCCACTCCCTCCACTCTCAAACAACAGTAGCAGGAACATGAGAAGTTCCAGCTTCTGAACTAGCCAGTATGAAACTTTGAAGGAAGAAGCCCAAACACAAGCCACAAAACAGCAACTCCGTCCCAGTGTTTGGAACAGTCAGAACCCTCAAAACTAGGCCCTCTTGAAATTGTTGGGTTTTCTTTCCCGCTTGGAACAAAATAGTGGGAGTTTTATTTCACGTGCAGAATAAATTTCTCAAAGCACCTGCACTCAGAACATTGAAATGGCTCTTTTGTGCTTGGCATGTTCCAAGGTTGGAACTTTTTGCCATCTCCAGCTGCCAGATTCAGTTCAGGATGGGATTCCTGGGTTTTGAGTAATCAGACTGGCATTAAGCAAGATTTGTGTGGAATGTAGCTGTGAAAAACTAGTGCGGCTCCTGAAACTATTCCTCCTTCACAGCTTTAAAGGTAAAGAACCCCTTACCAGACTGAACCCAAGGCAACTTTAAAACCAGACACAATTCATTATGAGCGTATATGTATGGTCAGTTTTAAGAATGCTTCATAAATGCCTTTCAACCTGTTTGTTGAGTGCTGAACAGCAGCTCATTTTTTGATAACACCCCAAGGACAGACCTGCTCAGCTTTCATTTCCCCCCTGATCTACTTTTTAAAATCTGCTTTTATAACCCACCCCAGGTTTTTGAAGTCCAAATCTCTAGAAAAGCCCTACTGGCGCATTTATAGACCTACAACAGGTGCCTTCCTTCTTTTGACTGCACTCCACCTCTGTGATCAGGTAAGGGTTCAAAGATGCTGCATAGAATTTAAAGGTGAGCCACAAAGTTAACAGAGACATTTGTCTCTTGCACCATTGTTTAGGAAACACTTATTTAGCAATCAGAGGATCTGCTGCTATTACATTTGGGTTTTTTTTTTCTCTACTTCACTAGAGAAATGCCTCAGGACAGGGGCATATGCTTTTAGTCCTTGTCCCCTCGCATGACCATTTTGTGTTGCTGTTCCTTTAATCATATTCTTTCAACTCTTCCTTTCTTGACTTAAAAAAACAGAAACCTCAAATTAAAACTCTTTCTGTCTGAGTGAGCTATCCTGGCACTGATTTACTTCATGAACGCCACATCTGCATGCCAGCCACCTAATGCAGTTCTAATGCCTAACTTATGGCTAAACCTTTTTCTGTTGCATGTCTTTCTCTTATCTTAATGAAGTTAATTTCAGTAAACAATGTCTGAAGGAACTCTGAAAGTCCCGACATCCCCAAGGCTTCCTGAAGAGCAGATTTCAATGAGATAAGCACATTTCTTTCCTCAACTTCCTCTCCAGCTTTGGGAATTCTTGGATTCCTTCGACATCTCCACAGAGATAATTCACCATATACATATAGGGGCAAAGTCATCTTCCACTTTTCCAAAAGGCTTTAAATTAATCTTGCCTTTTTGCTCTTCCCTTTTCTCTTTCAAATATCAACTCTTAAGTACCCTTCCCAAGGTTATGAGCTATCCTTCCCCTCATCTCCTCAAATCAAGCCACAATACTCAGTTGCAGAAGAATGATTGCTGTAGTAACACAGATATTTCTCCCCACTTGTTTTACACAGCTGGTTTGAAGTTGGCTGTTTCCATATTACTCATGGGAATGCTCTCCAGTTAGTTAATCATTGAGATATAAGAATACATAACTCAACATCTTAATGGTTTAATGATATTAAAGCTTATGATTGACTATTCCTAAAATATTGGCTTTTTGGTCACAGCTCCTAGTTCTTGGTGTTTAAAGAATGCATGTTTTATCTTGATAACAAACATGCATATCTATGTGTATGTGTTTATCACTGCTTTTAACAGCAAGTAGTTCTCCATTTTCTCAAATCAAAGCTCTATGGTCTGTGGATAATGTGTGCCATACTTGGTTAGGTCTCTTCACCATCTCTTGCCATTTATTTATTGCATTATAAGAGCTGCCTTTAAGACCGGGGAGCCAGTGCTTTGGAGAGGATTGATCTCCCGCCCCAACCCCATAGGAGTAGCATTTATTGTAGTTTTGCCTTTTCTCCTTCATCACTGTTACCCCCTGGTGGGGGGAAGAGCAAATTGCCCCTACCCCAGCCTTCAAAAAAGCTTCCCATGGAGTTATTGGTAGAAAATGATAATGAAGAAGTAAATCCAATGAGCTCATGGATTTATTTATTAAGTATTTCTCATGTATCTAACTAGGATTTTTTCAAATCAACCAGATTTATTTCCCTCCCCAATGATAGCCCTTTGCTTTCCCAGGTAAGCGCTTATGGGTATATCACCGAAGGATACCAAAAGTATTCAGATCACTATTATGATAAAGAACGGAAGCGTTTAATCTTTTATACCAACCATGACTTTGATCTAGAACGGAAGGTATGGAAACAACTTCATGACGCAAATATTATGAAGCTCTACCAACGAACCTGACAGAAGCAGACTATGAACTCCTGACTAGGGTGGGTTGTTCTGCTATAACGCAGAAACTCTGAAATCAGAGGTGTTATTTGGACATGCACTAGTAATTTTTTTTTCTGAATGGTTCCATAATACTTAAGGTATTTCCAAAAATATGCACACCATGAACTTTTTTATCCATCTAGGAACAAAAAGATTATGCAATTTAAGAGCATAATTTAATATGGGAATAATTAAATCCCATAAATTAAATTTGATTACCCTTAGGAGAGAGGCATGTTACAGGCAATTTATGATGTCTGACCACTTTTTTCCAAACATTCAGACGAGATTCTTGATACTTGAGATTAGAACTATTAAACCTGAGTCCAGATAACCACTAAATGGGAGCAAAGGGACACAGAAAACTCTTAGGTGCTGCCTAGTGGTCCTCCCGATAATTGGAGCCCTGATATACTTGTCCTACCTGAAATACTAGTCTTGAACCCTATCTGCATAAATGTGAGCATTTTTTTTCTTCATCAGTAGAGAAACAAGAACCATTATTGCTTAGTTTTAATGTGAACCCATTACATTTTAATATGAAAATGGACTTGGTTTAACAGTAAAGAAAATTTTTCATATGTAGATTGTGAAGAGTGTTCTTTCTTTCTTTACTCTAGAATCAAGTTAGAAAAAAATGGTGAAGCAGATATTTTATTTATTTATATAAATCAAACTTTTTAACTGCTCATTTCTCTCATGGAGGGGCTCTCATATTTTGCACATGAAAGGGTATAATTTAATCCCTGGAGTTTTAAGAGACCACAAAAAAAGTTCCTTATGACTCCCTGGAAAGCTGCTGCTTAGCAGAATAGACACACCTGAGTAAGATGACCAAAACTGAGCAAGGTGACCAAAAGCCCTACTTAAATTAAGGGACTCTCCTATGTTGGAAAGAAGAGAAGAGTAAAATTTATTTCTCTCTTCTTGCTACTGGGAATTTGCTTAACTTTTTGATTTCCAGTGGAGAACTGCAAACAACAACAGTACAGTAATGCCTGATATTTGGGGGTGTGAGGTGGGAATTTGCAAAACCTTTTCTTATATTTGCCATCTCTCCACTGTTCTCTAGAGAGAGATTTCCCCATCCTTCACACTCGGTTGCTTGCTCTCAGGAGTAAGAGAGCCTCAAGCTTTTGAGTTCTCAGTAGGATAGCAAGGAGTTATTGTTTGTCTTCTCACTCTGGAATCCAAATCATGCCACACTGCTCCAGGTTGCTAAGTGACAACTCTGTCCTGGTATTCTTCAAGCTTGAATAGGACCTTTACAATTCCCAACAAGTTTTTTTTTTCAAATGTTTTTCTCCATAGAGGCCCCTTTCTCCTTTGAGTTTTTCCATTGCAGAGAGGGCATTAATCTTAGTCTCCTTCACAACATGGAAGATGCTGGAAAAGTCCTTTAGAAAGTAATTTACAAACCTTGGAATAAATAAGAGTATAGAAACATGAGCAAAGATGATTTGAATGGCCCAGACCATCTCTACATTGTTTCATACAAGATCACATAAATGGTTTGAGATCAAGAATAGTAGCTCTAATGGAATAGAAATCATGATCTCATAACGGTTAAAATATCACATAAATTTCATCTTTATGGTAAAATTGGAAATTCGGTCAATTCTGTAAATTTTATGTCACAGTCTGCTGATATTGGGGCTACTTAGATTCTATTTTATAATAAGAGGTGTACTGAATTTACCAAGAGGTCATATCCAAACATGTAATTGCATGCCAGGTTTACAAATGGCTACAGCGGATGCAGAGATTTTCAATCAAGATTTTTTTACTCTTCCTATTGGTTGCCCATCTGCTGCAGTCTAGTGTAAAGAGACCCCCTGTTTCAGGTACCTGGGATATACTGCATATGCTTACTGGCCTTCAATAATGCACAGATAGAAATAAGTGCAGCACAGATCACTTGTTACTGAAGATACATTACTCAATTTCAGTCCTTGCATGTTGCCATGTCAAGAACAAGCAGTGGAGATTCTAAAAATGCTATTTTATTGGTGTAGGGTATAGTAATGACAGAATCTTGAAGTTTGTCAGACTTTCTCTCTACCCCATGAAAGAGAATCAAAGTGGGGCTATTTTGAATTTTTTCTTACAATTAAATTGCTCTTTTTTTCTCCATTAATATTTTATTGCTCTCTTCCCCCTTTCCAAGACTAGATCCCCATTTTTTCACAATGAGCAAAAAATATATTCTATTTATATTCTAGGCTAATCTATACAGTTATAGGTAGTCTAGCACATGACAAAGAACATTAGTTAATAGAAGTGTTAATACCACTTTTTAAAGCCTTGGTAAGGCCACACTTGGAATACTGCATCCAGTTTTGGTCACCACGATGTAAAAAAGATGTTGAGATTCTAGAAAGAGTACAGAGAAGAGCAACAAAGATGATTAGGGGACTGGAGGCTAAAACATATAAGGAACGGTTGCTGGAATTGGGAATGTCTAGTTTAATGAAGAGAAGAACTAGGGGTGACATGATAGCAGTGTTCCAATATCTCAGGGGCTGCCACAAAGAAGAGGGAGTCAAGCTATTCTCCAAAGCACCTAAGGCAAGACAAGAAGAAATGGATGGAAACTAACCAAGGAGAGAAGCAACCTAGAACTAAAGAGAAATTTCCTGACAGTTAGAACAATTAATCAGTGGAACAACCTGCCTCCAGAAGTTGTGAATGTTCTAACACTGGAAGTTTTTAAGAAGAGACTGGACAACCATTTGTCTGAAATGATATAGGGTTTTCTGCCTGAGCAGGGGGTTGGACTAGAAGACCTCCAAGGTCCCTTCCAACTCTATTATTATTATTATTATTATTATTATTATTATTATTATTATTATTATTATTATTATTATTATTATTATTATTATTATTATTTGTCCATCTGGGGCTTGAGTCAGAGCAGAGAGCATGGAAGCTAAGGAGAGCTAACTGCTCTCCAGTCTGAAAAGTTTTCTTAAATCTGACATGTTTTCGTCTTAAGTCTTCCATGTCCCAAACTTCACCTTTTGTCAGCATGTTTCCGGAAGCATATACCAATTAAAACTCCAACATACACAACAGTACAAACCATATTTAAACCCAATATGCCTTAGCATGATGCAGGAATCCAGCCACTGCCCAGGGAGGTGATGAATTCTCATCAGACTTTCAAGCAAAGGCTGACAACCTAAGATCTTATAGCAGCAGACTGTCTGCAGTACTGTATGTTTGATCTCGATGATCTTTGATGACCTTTCTGATTCTGGGTATTTTATTAGTGCTTGTTATGAAAATGCAGGAAAAAACGGTTTTATAAACAGCAAAGAACAGATGATTAAATTGAACAGAGAGGCAGGGAAGGAAGACAAAGAGAATACAGTGAACCTGATTCCAAAGACCGACATTTCCACTGGACAGCAGAGCTAAGCTCAATAAAGAAGCCAATAAGGTTGCTATAATTTGCTTTTATTGCTTAAAGTCAAGGCTCTTAATGCTGCTAACAATAATAGATGTAATGGCAGCAAGAACTATGGCAATATGGAGAGTGGAAGATGGTAATGAAAAAATATAGCTCTCCAGATATTGCTTGAAAAGGTGTTTTCAGTCAGGATGGCCAAAGATAATAGCTGCCATCAGTTGTCATGCAGCAATACCTGGAGCAACACAGATTCCGCTCCCTTGAAAGGTGGAAAAATCTGGAAAACAGGGCATGGTTTTCTGAAATACTCAAATAGGTATTTTTGAAGTTGAACACCGAAGGTACAAATAAACATTACTCAGTGGTCAGTTTCCCATCGCAACCTCATATGTCCAATTATCTGCCATTTCCACAAGTCTCTTGCTAGTAGTTTAAAACTATTGAATGTAGTTTCGATTTCTTTTGGAATTCATAAAATGGATCAAGATATTATATGTCGCCTGCATGCAGTGGTGGGATTCAAATATATGAACAACTGGTTCTCTGTGTGGATGCCTCTTCCGGAAGTCCATTTTGGGCCTGGGCAACAAAAAATTAGCTACCGGTTCTGCCGAACTGGTGCAAACTGGCTGAATACCACCACTAGCTGCATGTAAAGTGAAGGTTAATGATATGTTTTCTCCTACTTTCTCACTATTTAGAGGAACTAGACAAGGATGCCCGTTTTATGAATTTCAAAGGAAATCTGAACTTGTCCAGTATGGTAAACATGAATTGTTTATATATTTTCTCAAAGGCTTTTTCAGCAACTAATGATAAAATTACAAATTGTTCTGTACCTTTATTCAAATCTCTTATTATCTACAACTAATTTAATGTCTGCTGCTTGGCGAATTTTTATAAACCCTGCTTGATCATTCTTAACAACAAACAATATCACTTGCTGTAATATGTTTGCTAACACTGCTGTTAATATCTTTCTATCAAAATTAATCAATGAGATTGTATGATAATTAGCACTTGGAGTGTGATCTTTACCTGAGTGTGATCTTTGGTATAACGGTAATATAAGCCTGGTTAAATGCTGCTGATAAAATTCCCTTATCAAATATCTCATCATACAATTAACTAAGTTTTGGCACCAAAAGATCTATAAATGTTTTATACTACTGAATAGGGAATGCATCCAATCCTGGTGTTTTACCACTTGCCATGATTAAAATTATTTGTTTATTCTCTACCTTAGATAGAGAAGCAAATAAAAGTTGTTTTTGTGCATCAGTTAAGTGTGGTAAATTAACTTATTTTAAAAAGATCTTTATATTTTCAGTCAACGTATTCTCTGGTTTGCTATATAATTCTAAATAGAATTTTAAAAATTGTCCATTCAAGTTTTATATATTTCATCTCTAATAAGTGGAATCACTGCCCTATTTTTTATTTTTTTGTATAAGGAATTAGCCATGATCTTCCAGGTCTTTCACTCTTCTCCCAATATCTTTGTCATAAACATATTAGCATAAATTATGTCTGCGGTGATACTATAATATGTTTTGCAACGTCCTATACTTACTAGGTTTTGGGAGAAAGTAGTGGATTATATAAATATGGTTGTGAAACAAGAGCTAAAACTTTCAGAGAATAACATTCCCCTGAAATTACATATCTAGTACTTGGAATTTGACAACCAGACAAGGTAAATGGATTCTCTGTATTCTTACTATGGCCAAAAGACTGATATTGCAGCATTGGAAAGAAAAATGTATTGCTCCATTCACTCAATGAACTGAAGATCTGATTACATAAACCACCTATGAGCTTATTCCCTATAGACCAGGGGTGGGGAACCTTGGTTCTTTTATGACTTGTGGACTTCAACTCCCAGAATTCCTGAGCTAGAATTCCTGGGCTGGCTCGGGAATTCTGGGAATTGAAGTCCACAAGTCATAAAAGAGCCAAGGTTCCCCACCCCTGCTATAGACATAGACTTTGTATGCAAAAATAAAATGAAATATGGGACTCATTTATACAAAATACAGATAGGTTAAAAAATGAGAGTTGTACAGGTGTATTAGAAATATATACATACATGAATAATATTTGCATTGGATGAGTATATATAGCATTGTAATCGTTTACTGTTATAATAATATA